GGTTTTATCTTACAGTCAGGGTTCACGATGTTTGTGCAGAGCCCGAGGCTGTGCACACGGGACTGTCAGGATGGGGGCCCGGGCCCGGGCGCGCCCTCTGACCCGCCCTTTACCCCCAGACTGCCCGTATGGCACCTTCGGGATGGACTGCAAGGAGACCTGCCGCTGTCCGCTGGGCGTCTGCGACAGGGTGACTGGCCAGTGCCTGACGTTCCCCTTCTTCCAGCATCCAGTCACCAAGTCCTCCGACAGACCGGCGTCCCCCGCAGGTAAGTCGCGTCCGGGGGCCGGTGGTGTTGAGTCAGGTTGCTGTTTTTAAGAAAGATCTTACTAATAATTGTGAAGATTATATAATTCCTCATTAGATTTACCCAGTTTTTATGGAGGGTCAATAAAATCAATGACCAAAAAATCTGTAATTAAAAAACCACCAACTAAGACGTGCCAAGTCCTGTACATTCTTGGGTGACCCGTTCTATGTTCGTCCTAGACAGGCCAACGCTCCCCACTTCCCAAGGAAATTACTGAATGGGTTTAAGAGCCAAGACAGAAAATATAAGACATTTTTTAACCAGATGGAAGCACTTAAATGGAATAATCCCAAGCATGTGCGTTTTTTTTAAAAATGGGTTTTGGAGAGGATGAGAGAGAGTGTCGGAGGCTGAAATGTGGGAATTATCTCTGCTCTTCGAGCGCAGTCTCAGCGACACCGCCCGCTGCCAGCGAGTCCGAGAGTCTTTCCCACGCGGGGCGTTAGGACGCGAGAGCGCGGCCTGGGCACGCCTGCCACTATCTCGCCGGGTAAATGGCCAGCACAGTAAGGCCTCATTAAATTGGAAGCAGCTTGTTTAAAACAGCGTGTAGCCCCAGCAACTTCCAGTATCAATAAATGACACACTTTTCTCCCCTTGTATATAAATACTCGACAATCCAAATCCATTTTATTTAGGTTTTTTTCCTGGTCCTTTGCAGATCAAATTAATTACAATTTGAAATATTTGGCAAATGTGCTTATTTCCCAGCTCTACCTCCCTCCTACACCTGTGTACAGTTAAACACATTAAGACAAAGGGGAAATACTGAGTTTTACATGAATTATTATTTTTTTAAGTATGGCTATGCCCCTAAACATTAACTTACTTTTTAATTTTTTTCCAATTGTAGCCTTTGTCTTATTCCATATATATATGTGTGTATATATAAAGATATATATTAATATATCTTTATGGATAGACAGAGGAAGGGAGAGGGAGAGAGAGAGAGAAACATTAATGATGAGAGTCCTTGACCGGCTGCCTCCTGCACAGCCCTGCTGGGGATGGAGCCCACAACCCGGGCCTGTTCCCCAACCGGAAATCGAACCCCGATCTCCTGGATCCTCGGTCAATGCTCAACCACTGAGCCATGCCGGCCGGGCTTATTCCATACTTTTAAACTCCCTTCTGCAAAAACTTTGTTTCCATTTTCCTGAGACCCTTGTTTGCTGGATCTTGAAATGCACAGAAGCTGGTTCAGACCTGTAGCCACATCCCTGTGAAAACAAAATAGAGCTGACAATTTCTTTATACTTCTTTTGCCTTCGGCCAACAGCATATCCTCAAAATACTGTTTTCAACCGTTATTTAGGTCTGTTCTTTCCCCCTCCTATTCATTTCTGTTGGTCTTTCACTTTAGGGTATTTTTCTTTATTTCCATTCATTCTTTTTCAGTATGTTTCCAAGAGTCAGGACTTTATAAAACGTGATGCTCAGCGAAGCATCCCTGTTCCCTATTCTTTCCCTCTGTTCCCTCTCTTCCCTCATCATTTCTAGTTTATCCTTTCTGTTTGCTTTTGCATTCTTGGGCAGGTTTGCTGATATTTTCCTTTTTTTATTTTTAGTTTTTACTTTATCTTTGTTGTTGAAACTATTACAGATATCCCCTCCTTTTTCCCATTGCCACCCCCAGCCCATTCCCGCCCCCTCCCCAGGCCTTCACTGCACTGTCTTCACTATGCATATAAGTTCTTAAACATTAATTTAAAATAAAACCCCTTTTTAACCTACTAGCTGAGTAACTTTGTGAATGTTTGATCTGGAAATTGGGAGCATTATCAACATTCTAAGTCCTTATGATTGTCCCTATAGTCCTTGGAAGCAGAAAGGAGGAAGATTGCGCTTTAAGACCTGATTTTTGTTATTGAGGCGATACTTCAGCTAACGTAACATTAACCATTTTAAAGAGACCAGTTCAGTGGTGTTTAGTGCATTCTCAACACTGAGTAGCCACCGCCTCTAAATAGTTCCAGAAGGTTGTCCTCAGCCCCAAATAAAACCCCAGTGCCCAGGGACCTAAGGTGTTTCCCTTCCTCACAGCCTCCGGGACGTTTGCAAGACCGGGTGCCTTTGCTCTGGGGTCCGCGCCCATGGGGTCAGTGCAGCCAACTTAACCAGACACTCGCAACTTCTATCTTATTTCGCTTTATCAAAACCGAAGGCTAAAACGAACAGAAGGAACGGCTTTCATATCCCTCTTCACTCACATAAGGCTGCACCTAGACTTTTCCACCGAGAGAGAAATGAGTCCCCGGTGAGCCTCTGTGGGTGTTGGGGACGAGTGTTGGAGGCCCCGCGAGCTCCTTTGGGGTGATGCTCGGCGAGGGGGCTCTTCCCCGGGTCCCACCTGCGTCCACACTGCACAGGCGTCTCCTGTCCTCTCCCCACAGGACGCTGTGCAGTCTCTTGCCCTCGGTTGCTCACAGACTGCGAGCATCTTGGCCGCTATATAAACAGATGCCCCAGAAACATATTTTGCTGGATGGAAGTGACACTATAGGTCACACAAATAATATTTTTCTCCCCAATTTAGGTATCAAGATTCTCATTAGACATTTATGAAAAGGCATTTTCTGACCTAAGGTGTTTCCCTGCATTAGCTAGAGGAGCAACAAGAGGCCGCATCATCTGGGTGCCCCTCCGGCAGGCTCAGGCAGAGCGGGTTCCCTAAAGGCCGTGGGGAGGCCGCCCGGGAGCCCGCGGTCAGCTGTGCGTTTCCATGTGGGGCTTTCGGGGTTCACGCCCTGCAGCTCGCAGAAGGGGTTTGGGGCCACAGTCCTGCTGGGGTTTCACGTCACCTCTGCACAGACTGTTGGGGCCCAGCCTTTGTAAATGGCTCCAAGGTTCCTCAGCACCGCGGCCTCCCGAGGTCTCGCCCACACCTGATCATAAGAGGCTGTCGTCTCTAACCCTCTACCTGTTGGCAAGCGAGTTCCTGGCTTCCTCTCTCCACTGTTCCCCATCCCCCCGGCCCGAGCTTTCCAGCTTTCCAAGGCTGGAAGTTCACAAGCAACTTTTGGGGGTGCGGGAGGGGTGGTAACATCTGGAAGGTTTCCTGGATTCGCACCCAGGCGCCTCCCGGCTGCACGAACCTTAGATTCCATCGCAGGATGGGCGCTGCCGGAGCAAACACCTCGCTGCTCTCAGAGGCAGGAAGCCTTCCCTTTAGAAAATTCTAAGTATTACAAGTGATTTTCTAATGGGGAGCGAGAACTATCTTCATAAAAGTTTGCCCTTTGGTCTGCCTGGAGCCACACCAAGAACCTCACCCTTCTTCATACTAGACAATATAAAAGTCTCACTTGGAGTCGCATTTATAAAGTGCCTACTGTGTTCCAGGCACGGGTGTCCTGGAGCTGACGTTCCAGCGGGGGAGTGAGATAATCAGGAAAAACAGAACCAGGCACGTGTAGGGTGGTGTCGGGGAGGCCAGGAGTATGAACAGGCGCAATTCGAGGGGCAGCTGTCTCAGGGGAGGCGCCAACTGACAGGGCCGGGTGGGCACAGTTAGCACAGACTCTGTTCAAGATTTCCTTGTAAATCCACCGTGCACAAAACCAAGACAGACTGTGCTAGACTTTGGGCCCTGACCTGCATCCCTTCTGTTTCAGAGCACGACTCGGGGTCCGGAGACGGCAACGCGGTGGCCCGGGACCTGGGGAAAGGGAATGCCGCCCGGTCTCCCCTCATGAGATGGTTAAACCCACGCTGATCCCCGCGGCCTTTCCCAGGGAAGATGATTGTACTGATCACCCAACACGCAGCCAACATTTTAAAAACTGTTTAGATTATAGCATATGGACGTGTAATTTTTGGAGACCAAGAATGACTCAGGGCTGGTCCAGGAAAAAAAAAAAAAGTAGGCTACTAACAATCCGTAAAATGCATCTGACTGAACACTTAGGTATTTGTTAAATATTTGAGTGCACATAGATTTGTTAAATAAGTGTTTATAGTAGTGCTGAAGGACTAAAAATGCAATTTAGGTCATGTAGGCAGGTCAGCTAAAGAGAAAACCAAAGCTGAGGACCACGTGAGTCCACGGTTCTCCGACTCGGATGTACATTAACTCTGGGATCCGGGGCGGAGGGAGAATTTGGAGCAAGGGGGGGGGGCAGGGGCGTGTGCTATTTAGGCTTCCTTGTCATAACATCAACAGAATGTCACTGTGCTTCTTTATACTCTGGGAAAAATCAAAGCAGTCCCTGAAGAAGTGGGATGTTCGAAGCCTGTGGGAGCTTGAGCGGCAGCCTTGAATGGAGGCGGGATTCCAAGGGCCGCTCATGTAGCTCCAGTTACTGAATCTGAAGGATGCTCTGGGCAGACGTGCCTTCAGGAGTGCCACCTCGGGTCCAGAGGGCTGGGAAGTAGTTTGCCCACTTGGGGGAGTGGGAAGGTAAATATTTATATATTTTTGTAAACAATTGTTAGTACGAGACAACCTCCACGCCTATATTTATCCTGCTCTTGAGGAAATGAACATAATATTGTTTGTTTAAAATGGTTAGAATAAAGATGTAACTCTATAGGATTTTCAAAGATCCAAGGCATGGAAAATTTATTACTAATAATTATAGTAATCGTACAGTGATAAAATATAAGAGAAACCTATAAAATTTAGTCAGTGGATTTATAAAATGTCAGAAAATGAGCAACAGAGAGAATTTATTTAAAACTGAGTGCAGTGACTTTGATGAGTTTTAAATGTAAAGTAGAAAATGGCTTTAAGGGAGGTTTGGAGAAGAGCCCCTTTTCAGCAGGGAATGCCAACTTTAAGATATAGCTCATTTTTGTATTTTTCCCCTTTACATATAGTTGATACGTGGAATTAGCAGCACTCCTGGGAGGATCTTAGCACAGACAGCACTGTTGTACTAGATTTTAGGCAATATTTGCAGAAGTATTTTATTTGGAGTAAAGACTTATTTAAGAACTATTTCGATATTTACCTATGTTTTATTCTCAAAGTTTGCCAACAGAGTCATGAATGTGTCTGGCGAAGGGTCTTTGAATGTAAACTGGATAAGCTGTTAGAATTTGTTTTTAAAGGACAAGTTTATGATTGTTCAATAAAAAAACAAGACAGCTGCTCCGAGTCCTTTTGTGCTTTTGTTACATTGTTGCGAGTTACTTAAACGGTTAGTTCAATGAATAAGAACTTATATGCATTTTAAAGGCAAATTCCTCAACTGGATTTTCTGCTACAGATGAGCATCTTGTGTCAAAACATGAGACAGAATATTTCTTTCTTCACCTTACATCTTTGGTCTACTTGTGCTTGAGAGCTTCCTTAAAATTATGTCCCAATGTATCAACCCATTTTACAGATGCAAAAAACCCCGCAACCCAACAACAGATGAATGCTTCTGTTGGTGTGTGAATGTGGTTATACTTTGAAGGCAAACAGACCTTTTGGTGCCTGTAAAAGGACAGACAGACAGACAGCTTTGAAGCTGGAGAGCATCATGTCCATGAAGAGCATACGTTCACTCGGCCTGATGGGCAGATTATGAAATCGTTTTAAGTGAATCGATACAGCACTAAAATGATTTATATCTGTGTTGGGGAAAACACCTGGTTTGCCTGAATTAATCTTTTTCTTTTTTTAAGATGGAAGAAATGATGTGATAGAGATAAAAAGTTACATCCACGCAAGATAGCGATATTGTCACCAATAGAAGCAAAGAGCACTGAAAGTCTTACTTCTGCCCAAGGCAATGACAGTTCAGGACATGCTCTCCGGGACTGAGGGTTACTTAAAGATCTGCTGCCTTGGCCAGAAGCCTGGGCCACGCAGTCCGAGCGCCCTTTTGGGGTAGAGTGGACAGTGGGACGTGAGCGAGGCCAGGACGGACTTGCTTTTGCTCTCGGGCTGCAGCCTCCGCCGGTGTGACCGTGGGCAACATCAGGCCAGGGTGGGCTCCCCGCTCTCTGTGGCGGGCGTGCTTCCAGCTGCCCAGCCTCATGCCACGGGGGCCCCCGTGCCCATCACTCCAAGTGCTCGCGCCTGTCTATCCCGAACAGCTCTGCAGTCTTCCGACCGTCCCTCATAGCAGTGGTCTCCAAAATGTTTGGATTCTGCACTTTTTGACTGCAATATTTTTGAGCATGTGATTTTAAACTATATACATAGCATAGTTTTAATATATTCTGTTCATTATAAAACACTACTAGAAACTTTTAAAAGAATAAGAAATAACATAAATAGTAGTTCTGAGATTTTCTTCCTGAACCCCAGTGGACCATTCTGGGAAACACCAGAGAAGCAAAAGAAAATGCCAAGGTCAGTGATCTCCAGCGAGGCCCGGCCTCATTTGATACTGAAGAGAAAGCTGGCATAGATTCCATATAATAAATATTCCTGGAATGAATGAATGGATGGATGGATGGATGGATGGATGCCACATGAATAATCTTATTTTTGTGAAAAATATATAAATAAATATGGAGATATTAATATTGATGCTTATTTCTATTTTTAGCTAGTTTATGAAAACTTTTCAGTTTAACAATTTTGAAAAAGAATTAAGCTCTCTCCATTTTTTGAAAATTTAATGTGCAGCAAATTTAAACAAATGAAAACGAATTAGTGGTTCCCTCCATGAAAGACGGCTTGGGAACATAGCCCTGCATTTCAGCAGCTGTGCGATGTTCTCTGCCATCGTGGCACCTTATTAGATACGGAAACAGGCTTTCAGGCCAAGTAAATGTAGAGAACTGTGGATTTCTTATAAATACCAGAAAGGCTGCAAAGCACCTTAGCACACCCCACACCCCATTCTGGGACAGATTTTTGGTCTGACGGAAGCCAAGCCAGTGGCTCCTTAGAAAGGACAGAGAAAGGCCTCCGCATCCTAAGGGTACATGCCAGTCACGGTGCACCCTCTGCACCCAGGCACAGAGGGGCTGCTGCCGAGGCGGGCGCTCAGGCCGCCAGGGTTTCAGAAGCATTTCCTGACACCTGTGAGGCTGGTATTTCCTGTTTTTGTTGTGTCTGGAGAAAACAGGAATTAACAACTGGAAGCGATTATCAAACATCGGGAGCGACCTCTCCGTAGGCAGTTCCCAGTATGGGATTCATTTTCTTAAAATCTATCATAACATATTTCTTTTAAGGGAAAAAAAATAATTGTCCTAGTAATCCGACCACCGACTGACTGGTGGAAGATAAACCTTGTAGCCGGGAGGAACAGCACCTGTAGGGTCATGGGATGTGCACCAAGCATTGTCAGAACGTCAATATAAATCCAGTTGTTATAAATCTTTAAAAGTAAGCAAAACTGAGAAAGGAGGCCATGAAAATCTTATTGGTGGCTCTGTGCTAACTACACATAGTTGGGCTATTTGAAAAATATATATATATTTTTAAATATATCTTTATTGATTTCAGAGAGAGGGAAGGAGAGGGAGAGAGAGAGACAGAAACATCAATGATGAGAAAGTCATTGATCGAGCCCGCAACCCGGGCATGTGCCCTGACCGGGAATCGAACCCCGATCGCCTGGATCCCAGGTCGACGCTCAACGGCTGAGCCACGCCCGGCTGGGCTGAAAAATATTTTTGATGACCTTACGTAAAATAGAAGGACCCTAGAGTTTGTAACACGGAGCCTGGCTGAACTCACGGCAACACTCCCTAGTTGGTGACTTCAGGTGTATTATTTAACCACACTGCCCCTCAGCGGCCTCTGTAAAGTGTGGGTAATGCCTTAGTGCAGAGTTGTAAAGACCCCTGCACATGTTTTGTGTATGCATTTTATTTCATCACTGAGTCTGACATATATATAGGATGTCCCAAAAAATGTATACACACACTTTCAATAATTGTAAAGGCAGTGTTTATTAAAATACATTTCATTTTCAAAATTGAGCTATCAGCTTTTGAAGTGTGTATACGTTTGGGAGGACCCTATATATAGTGGCAGAAAGTTGAAGTGTTACCATATGAGCCAACCTCATTTTTTTTTTTTTTGCTACTTTTAGTGTCTACTAAGTGCAGGAAGACTGACATATTTAAAATATTTTACATGTTCTATTAAAGATGAATAAGTGAAGAGCCGAAGAAGATCGGCGGACTCCTTGGCGAAGCTGAAGCTGTCCGTAAAAGGTAAACAGCAATGAGTGAAATTCAATGACCATCATTCGCAAAGCTCTCACAGTTCTACAAAAGAAATGACTATTTTTAAAGAACAAACAAGTGTTCTATTTAAATCTGCAAACAATAATTAGCATGCTCCTGGAAAAAAAAAAGGAGCACAATGCTTCCAGAGAATGCAGGGAGCCCCGCGGAGGGACAGGCACACTTCCCCGAGCTATTTTTAGTCATCTATTCCTGCTTTTTATTTTGGGACTCGGCCCGCTTCCTGTGTAGTTTCCCCTTAACTTGTTCATACCTTTCTGTCTTATATAATGCATTTTAAGCTGCCTTTTTTTTTCACCTTCAAAGGAAACTCAAGGAATGTTGGCCGGTGCAGGAACTCAGGCTAGCCTTGGCACCAGCAGAGTTCTTGGTTTGAAAACAACCTGGAAAATCCAGGGTCACGGTTGGCTTTCTAGTTATTGAATGAGTCGTTGCTGCGGGGGATCTGAGACCAGGGATTCGCAGCTGTTGAAAACCTCTCCCGTGAACTTGTCTCATGCTTTGTAGACGCTGGAGGGATTTGAAGGTGGACTCTGTTTCGGATAGAATCATACAGGAGAAAAACCCAATTTTAAAAAGTAAGAGGAGTCCAGTGAGTCTGGTTTGGGGCCAGCTCGCGTCTGTGTGGGCGGTCGGCAGTCTGCCGGGGCGCCCCCTCCGCAGTGTTGGAGGCAGAGCGCGGGGCCCCGTCTAAGGAGCCCGGGGGGCTGCGGAGACGGGCAGGGACTGAACCCCAGGTGCACGGCGAACCGTGGCTGCCGGCTTGTGGTTCTTTGGTCACAAACAAAACAACCAAACAGAACAGTGAGAAAGCTTCAACTAAAATGTGATTTATCGTGGAATCTGGGGAGCCTCACCAAACGGGAAACAAACCCCCCGCGGGGTCCAGTGGTTGGGACAAAGGGCGGCTAGGGGTGCAGGTGACGGGCAGATGGACGTCCCGCTGGGGCTCTGCTGCGGACAAGCCGCGCCTTCCTCACACTCCTGTGCCGCAACATTGCCCCGGGCCTCAGAAACTCCTTTTCTGGGTGTCGCTCTCCCACCTCGTGGCCCATGTTAGTGACCAGCCCCATCGTGACCAGTGTTCTTCCTTTTGTGGGTGGCTTCATGTTTGAATGAAGCCGCCCGGAGCCCAGCCTGGCCGTGGAGATGTTGGTCAAGCAGGGCAGGACTGCTCCGGTCAAAACCAAGCTGTGTAAGATAACGGCGAGAGAACCGGCAGGGGTAGGATCTGGGCAGCAAGGGGAGCCTTGGGGTTCCAAGGAAATCACCGGGGTCTGGTGAGTCAGGAAGCTGGGCCGCCCTCGGTCACTTGCTGGTGCTTTTGAGAGAAGCACCGGGGGTGCTGCTCCGCGTCTCGGGGCGGGTGGAGGTCTCAGTGATGCAGCAGGGACGCTGCAGGCTGGGGCGGGGGGGCCTGAGCTGTGGTGCGGCTGGCGGGAAGCAGTCACCTTTGACTACACCTTCAGCTGCCTCACAGTCTGACCATCGATTTATTTTTTTCTTAAATGACTGTATCTGGTGTCAAAGATAAAAACATTATCATTCACAATTGCTTTAAGAAAAATTGTCTTTTTTAAAAAATCCAGTTATTTCACATCAATGACCCTTTGTTCCTCATTTGAAATATATTTTTAAAACCCTTTTTCGTTTCAGTGCCACCAAATGGCTGTAACTTAAGCACAAACAAAAACACACTGAGAGAGAGTAAAGTAAATGTGGTAAAACGTCAACGTTTGGGGAATCCGGGTGAAGGGCACGTGGAAATTATTTTCTAGTCTTGAAACTTTTCTAAAAGTCTGAAATGAAGTCAAAATAGATGCGAAAGAAGTGACTGCCGAGGTCTGAGCGGCTTTTCCACGCCGCTTTCTTACTGCCTCTTCCTCACTGTCTTTATATCAGTCGGGTCCACTCGACCCCTATCAAAGGCCTTGAGAGGCTGCCCCTCT